ACGAATCTCCAAACATAATTAGTCCAAGTAATTCTGAAGAAAATAGTATATTCAATTTATCGATATCTTTCAGAGAACGACCACAAGAGGGTTTTAAAAATGGGGTGTATTTCTGGGATTTCATGGAATTTTTCAGAAGATCCGATTTCCCCGGTGCTCCTTAAAAGCGTTTTCAACCCAACAAGCGTCTTCAAGTGACAACAAGCATCGCCAGACAAAATCTATAAAAATACTGAATAAAGTAAGCGACATCAGAAGATATGTTAATGATATGACTATAATACACCTTTATACCAAATTTCAATTTGATATTTGAAAAACTGACCGAGTAATGATTAATTGAATTTTACGATATGTGGCATGGCACGTGTGTGTATTAACCTGTACAGTTAGAAAGCATCGCCAGACAATATCTTCAAACATTCTTACTAAAGTAAGCGACATCAGTCTTCAATCTTTTGTGAGATAGTAATGGATTTTATATTAAATATCAAATCAATTAACTTTTCTTGTGTTATTTTGTCACAGATTACGCATAAATTGATTATTTTAGGGGCAACATCTTGTTTAAATATAAAATAATACAGACGTCTCCTTGTTAACGTAATTGCTTATACCATCTGGCATGTCAGTGAAACAATGTTAATAAAGCAATATGATCCGGCCTGGCCGTGTTCAGCTATACGTCTGAAGTCCTACGTACATGTAGACATATGTGACACGCCGATAGCTTCATACGTGTACTCATAAAACTTAAATACCTCACGATAACTCGGTCATTTTTTTAAACATCAAAGTGAAATTTGGTATAAAAGTGTGTTATAGTTATATGAATAACATATCGTCTATATATTATGAGTCATTATCAGAAAATGTCACATTTTTTGGAACCCATGACCCCAGGTTGCAGAGTCCAACGCTCTACCACTGAGCTAAAAGGTCATGTCCTGTCAGCTGACTGACATAACCACTATTTGTACATAGTACATATACATGTACTACCCAGATCTTTCACACTAGTTTTTCATTACATGCAGTTCAAGTTACCTTCATTTAGCAACATCGATAACATCAGTTTTTACATAACTCAGGTGACCGTTAAGACCCATGGGCCTCTTGTGGTGATATGTTGTTGTGTTTCGCCGAAACGAATTTTCGAAAAGTTATTGCCCTTTGTTTATTTCAGTATTTGATTTTTGTCCGCCGATCTTCTCATTCATTTTTCAACTGATCTCTTTGAAACTAGGTATTCATTATAATCATGATATGAAGTTTTGGTTTCATGAAAAGAATTTTGATTCATCTGTTTTTGCAAAAGTTATTGCCATTTGTTTATTTCAGTATTTGTTATTTTGTCCAGTGATCTTCTCCTAAATGTTTTGATCGATTTCTTTGCAATTTGGTAGGTTTTATAATCATGATATGTTGTTGTGTTTGCACAAAAACAATTTTGATTAGATTATTTTTGCAAAAGTTATTGCCCTTTGTTCATTTCAGTATTTGATTATTGTCCGGCGATTTCCTCCTACTTTTTTCGACCGATTTCTTTGAAACTTGGAAATCGTTATAGTCATGATATTTAAGGATTAACTTCTTGAATATATTTGTCATATTATGAAGATTTAACACAAAAAACCGCAGTGTACTCTAACTAAACCGCGAAGCGGTTTATGATGAGAGTACACTCCGGATTTTTTTGTTATAGCAATATAACATGAAAAATATATTCAAGTTAATCCTTATAATTTAATCTACTATACACAATCCCTGTGGAAATCCACTTTTATTGATGGACTCTTTTCTCTTAGAAATTATTGCGACGCTGTATCATCCAATCAAAAGCGACGTTACAGATGACGACGTCTTTTTTTACGTTATGGGATGATAACATAAATTTTAAAGCCAATGGAAATGCTTGTTACAAGCAGGATTAAATTATATAGTTATGTTTCTTTGAAAAAACATTTGATTCGACTATTTTTGCAGAAGTTATTGCCATTTGTTTATTTATAGTAATTGAATCCTGTCCGGAGATCTCCTTCTACAGTTTTCTATCGATTTCTTTGAAACTTGGTATCATTATAATCATGATATGAAGTTCTGTTTCCATGAAAAGAATTTTGAAATTTTGATTCACCTGTTTTTGCAAAAGTTATTGCCATTTGTTTATTTCAGTATTTGTTATTTTGTCCAGACATCTCCTCCTACAGTTTTTTGATCATTCATTATTGCTTACCACTTTAGCCTATTATCTGTGGATGTATAAGGGGGTGGGGGGGG